CTTTTGGTCGCATTTAGTCTTTTTTTATGACAAATATTATATCTGAATTATTTCCTATTATCATGCTTTTTAAATAAATTTTATATTTCTTAAGTTAATGCAATAGAAAAAACACAACTTATTGAAAATTACCATTCCTCATTAATAAGTATGCATTTTTTATTTTTTTTGACAAATATTCAAAATTTTTATTAATGACTAAAGTTACTATTTTTCATGTCTATTTTTAATAGAAAACATGTGGGTTAAGGAAAGAAATATATGTTAATCTTACGCTTCACCTGTAAATATCTCACTCACTCTTTTGTTCATTATCTCTCAGAGTCTCTTTTCCTTTAAATCTCTCCCCCCTCTCTTATTCTTGATCAATATATATATATAAATTCTTATTACTCTTTTGTTTATATTAAGGTTAATGCTTATTGAGTATGCCTTAAGGGACTAATATATTAGATATAGATATTAATAGGATCTAATGTCTTAAACTAATATATTGGATATTAACATTAGTAGGACCCTGCATAAATTTATTTATTATTTTATTTATTTAATTTAAATTATTTATTTAGGTCATCTTCATTATTTTAATTACATGTTAAATGGATCCGTGTTAATTAATAAATATTCAATTATGAAGATAAATACATTAAATTCTCTCTTTCTAATATACCATGTTTTATTAAAAAAATTCAATGATAAATATATTGAAGTGATTAATATTAAATATCACATACAACGTGCATATTACTAGTAAATTATTTATATGATGAAGCCACGGGGTATTTGCCAATGGGCCTTGAGATCTATTTTATTTCATTTTATTTGAAATCCTCTTCAATCATAGGGTTTTCCAGCGTCAGAATAATTTATTCTAATGAGTTTTTAATCTACACTTTCCTTAGTAATATAAAAATTACAAGAATTGAAATCCTTAAATCTTCAGTAGAAGTACCTTTTTGTTATAGTGCCTTCTATTATACTCCAACAACACATTTTAGAAAAAGTTTATATAAGGTTCAACCTTAAAATGTAAAATTAAAGTTGCACTTAAAAAATCTATTGGAAAAAGATTGTTTTAATGTTGAAAAACCTCTACTTGATCATCTCGACATCGAGATATATGTATATATATATAAAAAAGAAGTTTGAGTCTCAGAATTAGTGCATCTTGCAACATATCATTTAGACTATCTATTTTTTAGCTTTTCATAAATCTACTTGATTTTAACTAATTTTTAAATTTAAAATTGTATAATTATAGATAAAAATAGCTTTTCGGGTAATCTTAAAAATTATTTACTCCAAAATTATATATTACGATAAACTTTGGAGGTACGCATTAATAGGATTGTTTAAGATTGCAACCTCATAGAAACTCCACCTTTTCTCATTGCACTCCATTTTATTTTATTTTTGTGCTTTCTGCTCTTAGTCATGGGCTCATGGCAAATGGCTTGTTTGTTTGTGAATCGTATGTTAATGTCATTTCCCCAATTGTATGAGGTAATGTGGACTTTTGAAAAGGCATAGGTCTACTCGCGACATGAATAGCGATTTCTAAAGAGATCGATAAAACACTTAGCACCAAAGAAATCGGTTGCGCTCTCTCTCTCTCTCTCTCAGGGCTTGAGCGATAAACGTGAGCACGACATTCTTCTGTTAAAGAAAGAGGTAAGAACTTCGCCACTCCCTTCTTTTTTGCTCAAAATCAGTAGATCTATTCTCTGGTTTAGTTTTCAGATCTCTGGTTTTTCTGCTCTTTTCATGGCCTAACCATGCTCCATCACTCTCCATTTTGATACACATCTGTGAAATCAATCCAAGTTGCTTTTTAGGTTTTTGGGTCTTCTTTATCTTCGAATTTATCATCTGGATCTGATAATTGAGGCCCCCAATCTCTTTCTCAGAGATTCATTCTGGTTTTTCTGAGATGGGTTTTGTAACTTCTGTTGGGTCATGGGTTTTGTGTCTCTGTTTATTGGTTTGTATCTCTGAGGCTTTCTATTTACCTGGAAGTTATCCCCACAAATACCTCAAAGGGGGTGAGCTATGGGTTAAGGTGAATTCTCTCACCTCCGTTGAAACAGAGCTTCCTTATAGTTATTATAGCCTTCCTTTCTGCAAGCCTCTTGATGGGATCAAGGACAGTGCAGAGAATCTTGGGGAGCTTTTAATGGGGGACCGAATCGAGAATTCCCCATATCGATTCAAGATGAACACCAATGAATCTGATATCTTTCTCTGTGCTACCAATCCTTTGTCAAAAGATGATGTGAAGCTTTTGAAGAAAAGGATTGATGAGCTTTATCAGGTAAATCTCATTCTTGAGAACCTCCCTGCTATTCGATATGCACAGAGAGATGGGTTTAATGTAAGATGGACTGGTTACCCAGTTGGGTACCAGTACCACAATGTGCATTACTTGTTTAACCACCTGAAATTGAAAGTCTTGATTCATAAGTATGAAGATCCCAGTGTGGCCAGGGTTATGGGCACTGGAGATGCAGTGGAGATGATACCTAATTCTCAAAAGAATGGAGATTCAGTTCCTGGTTTCATGGTTGTTGGGTTCGAAGTGGTTCCTTGTAGCTGTCAACATGTTGGAGATTCAGCCAAGAATTTGAAGACTTATGATAAGTTTTCTTCTCCGATCAATTGTGACCCTGCAACTCTCTCTGTTGCTCTCAAGGAAGGTCAGCCTGTAATCTTCTCTTATGAGGTTTCCTTTGTGGAGAGCGATATAAAGTGGCCTTCGAGATGGGATGCTTATTTGAAAATGGAGGGGGCGAGAGTCCATTGGTTCTCGATCCTCAATTCTCTAATGGTGGTAGCATTTTTAGCAGGAATTGTGCTTGTTATCTTTTTACGGACAGTTCGTCGAGATCTAACCAGGTATGAAGAGCTTGATAAGGAGGCTCAAGCCCAAATGAACGAGGAGCTAAGTGGTTGGAAGCTTGTAGTGGGAGATGTCTTTAGAGCCCCACCTCATCCTAACCTCCTCTGTGTAATGGTGGGTAATGGGGTTCAAATTTTGGGAATGGGGGTTGTTACCATACTCTTTGCTGCATTTGGTTTCATGTCTCCAGCCTCGAGAGGAACTCTCATCACTGGTATGCTATTTTTCTATATGGTTCTTGGTGTAGCAGCTGGTTATGTAGCTGTTAGACTTTGGAGGACCATCAATAGTGGGGATCACAAGGGTTGGTTATCTGTTTCTTGGAGAGTGGCTTGTTTCTTTCCTGGTATTGCCTTTCTTATTCTCACTACTCTGAATTTCCTCTTATGGGGTAGTCATAGCACCGGTGCAATTCCCTTCTCACTATTTGTTGTGTTGATTTTGCTCTGGTTTTGCATCTCTGTTCCTCTGACTTTAGTCGGGGGATATTTTGGAGCAAGAGCTGCCCCAATTGAGTACCCAGTTAGGACTAATCAGATCCCAAGAGAGATCCCACCCCAAAAATACCCCTCTTGGCTATTGGTTTTAGGGGCTGGGACCCTTCCTTTTGGAACCCTCTTCATCGAGCTCTTCTTCATTATGTCAAGCCTGTGGCTTGGCCATGTCTACTATGTGTTTGGGTTCCTTCTAATTGTTTTGGTCCTTCTTGTGGTGGTTTGTGCTGAGGTTTCTCTGGTCTTGACCTATATGCACCTTTGTGTGGAGGATTGGCAATGGTGGTGGAAGGCCTTTTTCTCTTCTGGTTCAGTTGCTATCTATATCTTTTTGTATTCAGTCAATTACCTGGTTTTTGATCTCCACAGTTTGAGTGGCCCCGTTTCAGCAGCCCTATATCTGGGTTACTCTCTTTTCATGACTTTAGCTGTTATGTTGGCAACTGGAACTGTTGGGTTCTTATCATCTTTCTGGTTCGTGCATTACTTATTCTCCTCTGTCAAGCTTGATTGATTCAAAACTTTGAGGAGGCTCTGAGAAATATTCATCGAAGAACCAGCATCATTTACTGGGTCTCTTTGTTGTGAGAAGTAGGATATCTTTCTTTCATTTCATGTTTTCCTTCACTATATCATTCTATGTTGTTTTCTTAGATTTATTTTCTTAGAGTTTGAAGAACCAGACTTGGTTAGAGTATTTTGTAATTTTTTTCATATATGTTCCATGAATCAGCTTGTTATGGCTATTGGGCCATAGATGCTTTGACATTCCATTGATGGCAATAGAGTTGAATATTTTTTGTACTACCTTCAGATGCTTCCATTATGCACTGTAATCCTCTTTTATGAACAGGAAATATATCAAAATGTTAGCATTTTACACATATGGTTTGATTTAATTTCAAAATACCAATAGAAAGACAAATGATCATGAGTTGGAATAGTTGCAAATGTGTAAAATTCTAAATAATGTATCTCTTATGGGTATTTTGATAAATTTGCTTTTATGAACTTACGATCACGATGATTATGTAACAGGTCAAGTGACGTACTGAGAAATCTCATTCGGAGTCCCTTGCCAAGGTTAATTGTCATGACATATTCTAAATGTCATTTTTTGATGATTTCTTAGGAAAACTAAACAATATGAAAGATCTAAGAGATTATAACAAATGGTGAAGAAAGTTAAGAACTTACCCTAAATAATCTTTAATTTAATTTTCCATGACCTTTGATTTTTTGGTGCCGTTAACAACTCGTATCAAATCTTTTTTTTTTTTTTTTAGAGACTTAAATATTGCCATAAACATATGCCTACATTTCAGTTTCAATCTATTTTTAAAAAAATTGCAAGAACAAAGCAAAATAGTAGGGGCAAACTTGTTTGACATCAAGGAACATATCATTCACCAGAATCTTCTTATGTTTTCAAGATTTTTCCATGAAATTGGGATATTCACTCTTAGCTATGGAGTTTCTATTATCTACCCAAAAAAGCTATGGAGTTTCTATTTGCTGCATTTGAACAGGCCTTCAATTTTAAAAAAGATGAAAGTTTGAATGTTTAGGATTAAGGATGCTGAAAGTTCTGGGCAAATCTTACTATGTATGTGCCTTTCTTCCCAGTTCTAACATTTGAAGTTTGTGCATGCTTTATTTGGTGCATTACTAATCAGATTTGATGCTCTCTCTATAGACGTTCTTTTCTTTGACTGAATCTTGAACATGAATTGTTTCTTTACTTCATTCCATAGAGAGCTTTAAGCTATGTTTCGATATGACCTACTGGTTTGGCCTGCTCAACTAACAGGCACAAAATTGCGGTACCTCCAAAGGTGGTGGTCTATTCTTTCCCCTGATATATTTAGGGCCTTTTTAGCAAAGACAAGATACTTCAAAAAAGATTTTTGACTCCTGTGTTTGCTATACATGTTAGTTTCGTTGAGTAATTTCCATATTTTAAATGAAGCGTCTACGTGCTACAACTCTCTCAATCCCTGGATTAAAGGCCTACTGAAGATAAAAAAGGAGGGCAGATGAGGAAACGACCTTGGGTCAAGATGGTAGAGTGCTAGGCGTTCAACGTCTCAAGTTCCATTCTTATGTAACCATGTCAAAAAAAAAAAAGAGGGCAGATTTCTGCCTGCTTTTAAATTGTCATCTTGTACAGTACTCACCCGAGTACTAGCGTGTTAGAGTGATCGCTCAAGCAGTGTATGCATGTCGTATATACTCCCTATTCTGGAGGTGTTCTCGTATCAGCAGAGCTCGAGTGTGAGGCAACTCGGATGAGTTTCTTACACTGATTCCCAGTGAGGAACTGTGGAGAATCCCCAAGGTACATTCATATGGGTACTGTCAATCTCAATTGTCCGAGATTTTGAATGGCCGGTGGATCTCCATGTCGTTAGCTATGTACCATGTGTGCCTGGTCTATGGTTCACTCTACCTGAACATAGTACATATTAGTTTGGAGTATGAATACGTTTGAGGGTGTGTAATCATGTTTTGTGTTACACAAGTGCAGTAACCACTTCTTTGTCTTTCTTTTTTTTTAAACATTAACGGTTAGTAGTTGGTAGCAATTTGTAAACCGTTAGTAGTTTTTGAACATTAACGGATAGTAGGAATGGAAATCGAGACCGGTAGCTAAGTCACAAGTGGTACTACTACTCTTTTGAGAAATGGGTAGCTATTTTAGATCTCCATGAGACAAAAGGGCTTTCTCTACTTAAAATAAATAATTTGTTGTGTCCATTTCTTTCGAGCTTTCTCTACCTAAAATGAACGACTTTTTTTTCTCCATTTCTTTTATACAAACTTACCTTTGTGTTTTGATTTGTTGGGGTCTCTTCTATCTCTAAAATGAATTGTACCAAGAACTTATTTCCTTTTGTATCTTCTCTCTCTGGGGAAGAAGCAGAAAAATATAATAATAGACAAATAATTTGCAAACTGGATCCCTTAATAATCATGAAATAGTCAGAAAATCATAACAAAGAGCGCAAAATTAGCATAAGAACAGCAATGATAGAACTCAGGGAAACATTGATTCTTACGGAAACATTGTTCTTTCTTTTTATGCATTCAACCACTGAGAAGCTTCAGCACATACGGGTAACGTGGCTAACACTGTCTTAAAGGATCAGTGGAGCAGATCGTTCACCCACATTTTTGTGTTGGATGGTTGGATCGGGATTGGTTCAAATTGGTGATCTAACAAAATATCAAAAAATAAAAATAAAATAAAATTAAAATAGAAGTTTATGTGATGTGAATTTAGAAAAAGACCTAAAGAGACTAGATAAGCTAAAAAAAGAAAAAATGAGAGGGATTTTGGGGGGAGCGAGCTTGTGACTCATAGTAAGTCCCATCCAGATTGGCGATCCACATAAAAAATTGCCGGATTTTGAAACACGGCTAGCATTTTAAGCTCGCCTAGGTTTTCAAGGTTTTTAGGACCCCATAACACATTTAAAATTTACTCATATCCATTTCCGCCTCATATGTAAATTTGGAGCTCCAAAACTAGAGCATATGTAATGGTTTTTGAAGAGTTGATGTACACTTACTCCAATGATCAAACCCTTGCTTAGGGAATTTGTTGGACCTTAAGTTTTAGGGTCTATTTTGATGTACTCGTTATCAGATAATGTAAATTATTCTTGATAATGAATTATTTGTTGTTTGGCATGAGCCGTAATTTTATTATTTGACTTTATCTTTATGAAAAGTTGTCTTTATTTTATTCAAAGTAATTTGTAGAATGTCAATTTTTTTTTACTAAAAGTAGCTAAAAATACCTGAAAAACATGGAAAAAGTTTAATAATTAAATAATATTGTCCGTAATACAAGCTAGGTACTAAACATCTAACAAACAATATTATATCAATTTTAAACAAGATAGTCTATTCCAAATACCATCGATTGTCATCCAACCATGCCCTCATAAATTATCATAACGAAAGTTTTTTAAAGGAAAAAGTTTATATAAGATTGCAATTTCAAAATGTAGAATTAAATATGCACCTCAAAAATCCGTCGGAAAAAGTTGTTTTAATATTGAAAAACCCTCTATCATCTCAATCGATTGTAATCCAAACATGCCCTAATAAATTACCATAATGAGAGTTTTTTAAAGGAAAATTTTTATATAAGGTTGCAACCTTAAAATTTAGAATTAAAGATGCACCTAAAAATTTCATCGGGAGATGTTGTTTTAATGTTGAAAAACCCTTTCATTTATCATCTCGACATCGAGATGTATGAATATAAAAAAAAAAAAGATTTTCAGTCTCATAAATACTGCATATTGCAACATATTATCTGGACCGTTCATTTTCAAGATTTCCATATGTTTATAGATCTACATAATTTTAACCATTTTAGGAGGTTAAAAATTTACAATTAGATTTGAAAATAGATTTTGAGATAATCCTAATAATTTTTTATATCAAAATTGCATGATAAATTTTGGAGGTGCGGTTTAATTGGATTGTTTAATATTGCAACCTTATAGCAACCATACTCTAGTATAAGGGGTAGTTTTACAAATTTTATTTATTTTTAATATTCAAAATTGAGCTTTACCCCATATATATGGGAAAAGTTTATATAGAGCCGAGGCTCTAAACAATTAAATTAGAACCTACCCCAAAATATTTACTAGAAGAGGTTGTTTTGAGGTCCAAATATCCTAAAATTGATCATCTCGACATTAAGATGCATGGACATGAGAAAAAAAATAGATTTCAAGTTTTGTAAATAGTATATTTTGTAACATGTTTTTGGACCATCAATTTTCAAGATTTTCATAGATCTGTCGATCTACACTGTTTTTTAAGCTTTAAACTTTACAAATAAATTTGAAAATATATTTTAAGGCTATCACAATGATTTTCAGTATTGAAACAACATTTCTCAATACTATTTGACGGTAGGCTCTAATTTGATTGTTTAGGGCCTAGGCTCTATACAAATTGCACCCCAATAGAGATAAAATAAAAATATATTTTAATCGCCATATAGTTTTAAGGACCCGGTTTCTATGCGGCCAAGCCTGCATATGTAGAAATACGAGCCTATTAATAAATCTACACTGTTTTTGAAGCTTTAAACTTTATAAATAAATTTGAAAATATATTCTAAGGCTATCACACTGATTTTCAGTATTGAAACCACATTTCTTGATACTATTTGAAAGTAGGCTCTAATTTGATTGTTTAGGGCCTAGGCTCTATACAAACTGCATCCCAGTAGGGATAAAATAAAAAAATATTTTAATCGCCATTTATTTTTAAGGACCCGGTTTCTATGCGGCCAAGCCTGTATAAGTAGAAATGTGGGCTTATTAATAAATCTATTTTTTGGATTTTTTGACTTAATTTTTAAGTGTATATAATCTCTAACCTGGAAATCATGAATATGAAAAATAAATAAATTTTAAAAACTTGAAATAAAATTTCTAGTAAGAAAACATTTGAACCGTTAGTTTGTATTATTTTTAAATGGAACACCAACTTACATGTATTTTTAAAATGGGTGCTTTACACTTTTTGGACCCTATATATATAGTCATGCGATCCAGCGCGCGCGCATGAATGATCAGTTACGATCGCATCCATACGTGTAGGAACCCATACGATCAAACCCTCTCTCTCCCTCAAATTTAGAGCGTGTTTGATAATAGGAAGTGGCTTGTTTGAGAACTTCTCAACCTTTCTCGTTTGATAAAAATGAAAACGCCAAATCCAAAGTTTTTCTTCCCACACCTCTGTGTAAAAACAAGTTCTGACCCAAAGGTCGGAACCTAAAATAGGAAGCTCTAAAATTCCTCCTCATTCGATAACCTGGAGCACCCCCCCGGCTGAGCACCCACCTGAGCACTCCTCTCTGCGCCGCGGAGCATCCACACCGTTGAGCGCCCCTCTTTTCACAACTTCTCATCTCGCCGCTGAGCCAGCCCAGCACGCCATTATCTCAGGCAAACCTGTGATCCTTGCCATTGATCCTGAGGTATGCACGTTGTTCTCTCTGTTATTGATCATTGTGTTTGTTCTTGAGCTCTTGAAGCAAAAGGCTCTTATTATTGATCTTTGTGTTTGTTCTGAGCTCTTGAAGCGTAGAGCTCTTATACCCCATGATTTTAGGGTACAAGTTTTTTGTGGGGTTTTTCCTCTCTGTTGACTCTCAATTTGGGTCTTCTTAGTTTTTTTTTTTCTCTCTTCTCTCTGTTATTTTCTCACCATTTGCAAATGGGAAATGGATGTTACTTGCTTATGAAATGCCCTAAAGTGTTTAATGTTTGCTGGAACGTAGTGTTTCTATTCGATTATTTGGGGTCGTTTTCTTTGATCATGGATCATTTGATTTTTGTTCATTTCTCCAAATGTTGCTGTACTTTGGGCTTCTCTTTCCATGGCTGTTGATTAATGGGTATAATATATAATTTGCTCAATGCTTAGAAATAACCATGCTCTTTCTCTCTCTCTTACATCACGCACACATGTGTGTGTTGGTGAAATTGAAGTATTGTGAAATTGAAATATTGGGTTGGTTTTGAAATCTTATGCGAGTGGTTTTGAAATCTTATGCGAGTGCTTCTATGATGAATTCACTGATGTAGCTTCTGTGTATTGGATGTGAATTCTCCTTGGTAAATTATGAATGTTTAATGTTCCATGAATCTATCAATACGGAAACTCCAGTATGGCCTTTTTGAAACTGTCCATGCAAATGTGGTATATTGATTGTACTTGCTTTTTGTTGTAATTTTCAAATGCTATTTGATCTATCTTCAAGTGTAGATGAGATTTTGGGATCAGAATTTGGTACAAACTACATATCTAATTTGGAAAGCTTATAAAGTTTTAAACTTTACCTTTCTTTCAACTACATGCTCGAGTTTTTGCGACAAAGGCATCCATCGCAAGAGCTTTTGCTGACACTTCCCCATCTTAGATTTTTTATTCTATTGGACAGATTTTACTGGAAAACCAGTTCCCAGTCCAGCTTGGGCTTTTATTCTTACCTGATATTCATTTTGATTCCCTTTCCATTTCTCAAAATGATATAGCAATTTCCTTTACAGTTAAAGTCATTTGCAGTGCCTGAACTAACCATAAATAATATCTTCTTAGGCACATTTGAAAAGAAATATATTGTTTAATGCAATGAAGGACTTTTTCTTAGTTTTTTTATTTGATTTTGAGGTGTTCATCTTAAGTTTAATTGACCATCATCTCTCTTGATGTAATTGAATCATATCTTGACCAAATTTATCAATGTAGAGATGATCACATGCTGTGTGTAATAGATTAACACCACACATAGATACATGTTGCTGTTGCATCAAAGGAATGTAACAAAATGGGCTATGGATGTTACTTGCATTGTTTTGATCTATTTTTTGGAAGAAATTTATCATTCTTGAGCTCTACATGTTGATAAAGTATATGAGCATAATTTCTTAGTGATGCATTTTTTTACAATAGAAAACTAGTAACAAATTTGTTATTTTTCAGTCAATTTCTTGTCATGTAAATATGTGTTACAATTGTGTATATGATGATCATAATTATTTATAACCATCCAATGTAAAATTTGATAGCTTGTGTGTGTCACAACGTTCAAAATTTTGTTTTTTGAAGCTGGAGTTTAGTTACTAGAATATAAAAGAGGGTGAGGTTTGTATAAGGTTGCCTCCTTATATTTATTAGATAGAGATGTCGTTTCAGTCTCGAAAACTTTATTATGGCTTCAAAATCTCTTTTCATCCTCAACTATATAATTTTAAATTAAAAAATGATATAGATTGAGCCGATCAAGAAATACTTGAAAATCGTAAAAATTGACAGTCCAGATAACCTGCTACAAGATATGCTAGTTTTTTGACTTGGAATTCTTTTTTTTTTTTTCCTTCATATCGATTCATCTCAAGGTCTAGATGATCATCTGGTGGGTTTTTCTATGCCGGAACACTCTCCACTGTAGGATTTTTTAGGTATAACTTACTTCAACAGTATAAGGTTGCAACCTGATGTTTCGGTTGATTAGGTGTTCATGCATATTTGTGCTTAAAATATAGGGCACAATATTGGTGCTGGTGTGATGGAATTTTCTGAGTATTGGTTATATTTGTTTCTTACACTTGTGGCCTTAATATCTTATGCATTTGTATAACTAGTGAATGTGGCTTTATCAACCTTTTGTAGTCTTTTGTTTCATATATTGATGCATCATGCGTGTAAATTGGTCATGATTATCTCTACTTTCATGACTAGTCTTTGATTTCTCATTGTTGATTTGATAATTTACTTCTCCATTTTGAAGGGATCTATTATTTGAGATCTTTATTCCTATAAAATATTTGGTAGTGTAACTCTATTATTTGAGATCTATCATCTGGTTTTAGTGGTGGACATATGAAAAATGTAACTCTTGCCAATGGGATGAAAACCAGTCTTTTCTCAAATCCAATACAGATACCCAGTTCTTCTTTAGCTTCCCAGGAGATTATCAAACACATAGACCAAGAACTTCTTAACTTCCCAGGGAGGTTATCAAACACAAAAACCAGGAACTTCTTAAGTTCACGGAACTTAAGAACTTCCAATTTAAACTTGCTTCCAATTATAATAAGTCCTAGTAGCCATTTCCCATCTCTCTCTCATCACAATTGCCACTTCCCATTCTTCAAAATCCCTCTCTCTGTATTCTTCGGAATTGTGCATATTTGGATTCAGCAAAGGGATCTTATATCTCGTACTCAAGGTATGCCCAAGTTTGCTTGCTATCAAGATTTCTAGGGCTAGGAATTTCAGGTGTTCATAGTTTGGTTATGCTTTCTTTTTGGTATATTAGACTCCATCTTAGGTTTTTTGTGACCTATTTTGGGGATAGCTAGTTCATTTTTTTTGTGGTATGCTTGTCTCTTATTTGAGTTAGCGCTTCTTAATTTTGGATTTCATTTGTTTTTTATCTTTTGCTGTGGAAATATTATTGAATTATTGAGTTTATTGGTCTTTGTTTCTAAATGCTCTGAGTTCTCATAGAACAATTATATGAAAGAAATGGAATCCTATCAGATTTTAGAATAAGCTTACAGGCCACTTGAAAGAGAGAGGTGTTTTTCTCTTTTTCTTTTCTAAATAATTATGAATAAAATTGTTAAGAATATGCGTACATCAAGTTTTCAATGGTAGGGATCTTTACACATGTTTTTTTTAGTAGTTTTATTCGTGTCTTTTGCAATTTTATATATGCTTTCAACTTGAAGTGCTTGCTGGGGACATTTTGAAGATCATGTGGTTCTTTGACATATATACATGTTCTAACTTCTAGAGTTCTAGGTTATTTGAGTTCTCTTTTTTTCATTTTCTTAAAAAGAAAATTTTATCAAAATACCCTGATGCAGTATTCAGCATTTTACACATTTGTAACTATTCCAACTCATGATCATGTGTCTTTTGATAGATATTTTGAAATTAAATTAAATGATATGGTTAAAATATTAAATAGTTCATCTCTCATGGGTATTTCAATAAAATTCCCTTAAAAAATGATCATATTTAAAAAAGCAATGGAATTGCTGGGTTGATGTTTGTTAGATACAAATCATATTCGGTGAACATGCCACTTTGAATTTATCAATTGTCATCATCATAATCCAAGCCTTATCCCAATTATATGGGGTTGGCTACATGAATATTGTTCATCCATTTTATCAAGGGCTATGCCTTCAGTAAGATTAAAAATCACTATATCTTTTCTCATTACTTCTATTGATGTTCTTTTGTGCTTTCCCCTTGCCTATTTAGAGCTTTCTACCTTAACCAAATCACACTTCCTAACCGGTATTGTATTAGATCTACGTTGCACATGGCCATCCCACTTAAGTCTGCTTTTCTTCATCTTATCGCCTGTTGAAGTCACACTTAAGTTCCGTCATCTGTATTCATTTTGAATTCTATCATTTCTTATTTTTCCACTTATCCTTCTCAACACCCTCATCTCAACTATGCTTATCCTATGGATATGTTGTTTCTTGACCACTCAACATTGCATCCCATAAAGCATGGCTGGTCTTATAGTCATCCTATAGAACTTCCCCTTCAGTCTAATGGTAAGGCCACAATCACATAAAACTCCAAATGCACATTTCCACTTCGCCTACCTAGCTCTAATTCTATGTGTGACATTTTCCTCAATTTCTCTATTTTTTTGATTATTGACCCGGATATTGGAAACAATCTCTTTTAGGTATTTATTGACCATTAATTTTAAGTACATCCCCGTTTCTACTCCTATTATTACTAAACTTGCATTTTATATATTATGTTTGAGTCCGGCTAATTTTAAAACGTTTAGATTCTAGAGTATCCCTCCAACGCTCTGACTTTGTGTGAATGTTGCCTCTAGTATCATCGATCAAACTATATCGTTTGCGAACAACATACATTATGGTACCTCATACTGTAGGTGCCTGGTTAACTCATCTATAACCAAAATAAAGAGATATGGGCTCAACGCTGACTCCTGATGTATGCCCATTGTCATTGAGAGCTCACTTGTCGCTTACTGGTTGTTCGCACACTAATTATCGCTCCCTCATACATATCTCTTGCTATGTCAATAGAGCCTCTAGTGACTCCTTGTTTTTCCAACACCCACCAAATTCTCTAGTTACCATATCATATGCTTTCTCTAAATCAATAAAGACCATTTGGAGGTCTTTTATCTTCGCCCTAAACTTTTGAGTTAGTTGTCTAAGTAGGAAAATGGCTTAGATAGTTGACCTCCCTGGCATAATACTACATTGATTTTTTGATACAATTGTTTCATGCCTTAGTCGTTGCTCAACTACTCTCACCCACAACTTCATAGTCTAGTTCATAAGTTTAGTTCTTCGATAGTTCGTACAATTCAATATGCTTCCCTTGTTCTTGTAAATAGTTATTGTTGTACTTTTTTTATATTTGTCTGATACTTTCTTTGTTCTCAACACCTTGTTGAACAACTTGGTAAGCCAGGATATATCAATTTACCCCGATGCACTCTCAAATCTCTATCAGGATACCATCTGACCCTAAAGCTTTTCATATCTTCATGTTTTTCAAAGCTTCTTTCACTTCAAATATCTTAATCCTGCAAATGTAACTATGGCCTCCACCGTCATTTATGTCAAAGGTTCCTCCTTACATTGTGTTCCCATCGTATTCGTTATTTAACGATTTTTTGAAAATAAATTATTCGCCTTTTGTTGACCTTGTCATATTTCACCAGGATATTTTGATCAACTTTCACTAGGATCCTTTGATTCTCACTCTTAATGCACCGAGGATCAGAGGATCCTGGTGCAATAGTGTGGAGTTCCATGCTTTTATGCTTTTGCTCCCATTTTTGCATTTGGGTAGACAAGTACAAGTGTGCCTTAATAACATAAACTAGTGTTCAAAAAAGTGGACCGCTCAGCGTCTAGGCTCGCCTAGGTGGTCCAGAAGACCTGGGCACATCGCCCAGGCCTAGGCGGCAGTCCCTGGGCGGCCACCTAGGCGGTATGGAAATCGCCTAGGGGCGGATTTTTTTTTTTTCGTTGTATTGATTGTTTTTGAAATATAAAGGGTTTGAAGGATGGGTTTTAGGTTCATTTCGAACTTAAACCCATAAGAACCCTTTTAGAGAGAACGAAACCTCAAGCAAACTAAATTTTGTGACTTTCATTGGATCTTTTCAAAGTTACGGAAAACAGATCCAAACATCACTCAGGTAGATTTGATTTAATTTTGGAGTTTTATAGTCCTATTAGAAGGTGTTTTTATTATTTTTGCACCAGAAAACATCTCAGAGGTAGGAGTTTGGAGTTCGAGCATTCAAAGTAAGTGCAAAAAATTATTTTTTAGATTGTTTATTTTATTTTGAGATGTCTTCTTTAGGATCTAGTCGAAGTGGAGATCCGGGTTGAAAATGTGAATGTAACCCGAATCCAAATGCCAAATCCAATTTTTGTGAAAAAGGTCCGAAAGGGGGAATAAAGCGGTTTAATAAACATCTTGGCGGTATTAAAGGGGATGTTGCCCTTTGTAAAAATGTTCTTGAAGCTATCAGATAGGAGATTAAGCAATATATGAGTTCTGTAAAACAAAAACAGGAACAAAATCCTTGTCATTTGAATAGGTCTATTTCTGCTACTTTTAGAAGTAGTGATCCAGGTTAGAACTATGGTTATAACTCAAAACCAACTGATAAAAATTGTATAAGGTGTAATTTTTGTGAAAAAGATATGGGGGTATTAACCGATTCAAGAAACATCTTGCCGGTATTAAAGGGAATGTTGCTTCTTGTAAAAAAGTTCCTGAAGCTATTCGGGATGAGATTAGACAACTTCTGAATTTAAAAGAACAAGAAAATGATGAAAATGAGCCTTGTTTTGTGGAAGTATCCAGGTTCATCTAGAAGTGGTAATCCGGATTGGAAGTATAGTTATAATCCGAATCCGAATGACAAAAATTGTATTAAATATAATTATTGTGGAAAGGATACTAATGGGGGCATTTACCGGTTTAAAAGACACCTTACCGGTATTAAGGGGGATGTTGCCTTGTGTAAAAATGTTCTTGAGACTATCAGAGAGGAAATTATACAATATTTGAGTTTAGAGAAGCACAAAAGGATAGAAAAGTGTAGAGCAGCTAAGACTCCTAGGGCCTCATCTGCACATACTAGTAAGAGGGAGGCAGAAGAAGAGGAGGAGGAAGAGGCAGATTCAACAGAAACAGAGGAGGACAAGCGTTATATTGAAGAGGGAAATGACTCTGATGATGATGGCCTCGATTCTGATGCATATGATGAAGCTTACCCTATTATTTCTGATGATGATGATGATGACTGAAGAGTGAAGACTCTTAGTGTTGAGTGTTGACTGTTGAGTGTTGACTATTGTGTTCTAGACTGTATATTTTTTGAATTTCTATATATTTTCTGAATTTCTATATATTTTCTTTTTCTTATTTTTAGTTTCTAGTTCTACTATCTAACTTTTGTGTGTGCAGTCTACAATGTATCAGACTATCAGTGTATGCTTGTATGGTTTTACTGTTTTAGCATTGTATGAAAGTATGGATTATGGTCTTATGGATTATCAAAATTCTCTTCTCGACTTCTATCTTTTTTTTTTAACTGGGATTATGGCCATACCCTCAATCACACCATGAGTCCCTTTATCAAAGGCCAGAACCTAGGCCGCTTAGGCGCTGGGCGGCCTGGACCCCCATGGCCGCCTAGGTGCAGCCTAGCGCTTTTTGAAACAATGATATAAACCCCTGATTTATTTATGATTATCTTTAATAACATACCTTGGCTTTTAACGCATATAGGGTGCTCGTAGTTCTTGAACTACTATTTGTAGTGTTATCTTTCAATTATTATTTTCAAAATGTAATATTGTTTCTCCAATATATTATTAAGGAAAACACTACGCAACGCCAATAGGCGAAAATGAACAGTGATTCGCCTATGGTCATCACCGTCCAAAGTTCATCGCACGGTCACAGTTGTCCGGTAGTGTTTCAAATGTCATTTTTTTCTACAAATCGGAATGATCTGAAATTTGGAGTGTGTGTTCATCAAAAATAGGAGAATCTAATAAAAAAATTTTAAAATAATTCCTAAAATATAAATTGACCAAAATACCCTTGAAAAATTTACGGGGGTATTTTAATCAATTAAAATTTTACAAAATATTGTTTTCATATTTTTATTCGGTGCACCTCACTAAGATGTATACACGCTCCAAATTTCAGATCATTCCGATTTATAGGAAAAAAAATGAAAAATGAAACACTACTGGACAATCGTAACTGTGCGATGAACTTTGGATGGTGATGAACATAGGCAAAATCACTGTTCATTTTCGCCTATAGGCGTTGGGAAGACTTTTCCTATTAATAATATTTCGATAATCATTCTTTTTGTTGAAATTTTTGTAGATACGATTTTCGGATGAATGGCTGCCACTTCAGCATACCCGCCGCCACCTCCGTTCTACAGGCTTTATAAAGATTATATTGAGGATCCAAAGTCAGCACCGGAGCCACCGCCTCCTATTGATGGAACTTACACTTTATATGGCGCAACTTATACGGTAGTGTTTGGTTGTCTATTTTATTTCAAGTCCCCCTCTTTGAGTATTTCATTATTGATATGCTGCTATATATTTAAAAGTTACTGGGTTGACTTCCCCATTTGCATCTCTATGTGAATGTCTGTCCTCTTTCATTTCTGGGAAATGTAGCTTTTGTTTGAGTTGATTTCATTATTTGCATTTACGTGGAAGGTTTCAATGTGCATTTGGAATTTTGACCTAGCTGAATTTTGATGCTCACTAATATTCATCATTTTGGTTCTTAGACTGATGACGTGCTTCCAAGTTTGGAAGAACAAGGAGTTCGCCAGTTATATCCTAAGGGGCCAAACATTGGTATGACTTCCCTTTCATTTTTTATTTTATTTGTTGGAGTGGTTTGCATGATCACAAGAGCTAGCTCAAACGTTCTCTGGGATATCTCCTTTATTTATAAGTCTTAATGGTGTTCTAGTTACATTTGGGATTTATGAATCATTTCAATCCTACATATTAACGGTGCTCTGGAAACTTTATTACCAAAGATTATAGAGTTTCCAAACCTTTTATTCAATACCAATTTCCTGTGTGTTTTCCACAACACTTGTACCTAGCATTGGAGCCTTTTAAATGCGCAACTTCTTCGCATTCAGCTTCTCAATAGTCAATACCATCAATTTGACTTTATCCCACATATTTTGATTGTTTCTGTGCTGTCTTATCAACTGCATCCATGGACATAGCATGAACAGTATTCTTCTATTCCACTCTGGGAGAAGAGAGATACTTATCCAGGACGTGTTCCCCATAGTCTCATAGCTTTATGCACTCTCTACTTGCTATCTTCCTCTAGGGTTCCTTTCCATTTATTATTTTTGAGTAAAAGTTCGACTCCATTTATTTGATTTCCCTTGTGTGATGCTCCAGTAACAAACAAGTTTACGATTGTTGACTTGTAGCGGAATTATAGTACTGCATTGCAATGTATTAAGGATATCAGCTATACTGCATTGGCATGCATTATTGCATATCTTGGTTTTGGTCTCTTTGATTAGATTTTCTCTTTAACATATTATTGGTGATTAGAGCTGGCAACGGGCCAGGCAAGAGAGGGTGCATCCTGCCTGAAAATAAACCACAACTTGTGACCTGGGCCCAGCCCGATTTATATCATTGAGGCTCAAGACTGGCCCAGCCCGACCACAAAAAATATTGTGGCGGACTGGGCCTGTTGTGGGCCTATTTTTGGTGGTGTAATAAATTATGCTAATTATATATAAATGTAAACTGATTTTCTCGCCGTTTAGCCTAGCCTGAAAAATGTTCGGGCTGAAAATGCATTCCCGAGCTTGGTTTGCTGGCTTAAAGTATGGCCCAAACCCTGCTGGCTGCTAGGCCTGGCTCGGTTGGCAGCCCTGTTAGCAATTGAATGCTTCTGTGATGGACAAAAGGTTATGATCTCTGCCAATTCCTTCTCTTTCAAAGTATTAAAAGTAAAAGAAATGATAAGAATTAAAATCCAAAAAAAAAAAAATTGATAAGAATTTATGAAAAAGAATTAATGTATATGTATGACTGCTTGTGGCACAGATTACAAGAAGGAACTGAGAGCGCTGAACCGAGAGTTGCAGCTTCATCTCTTGGAACTTGCAGATGTGCTTGTTGAGCGACCATCTCAGTATGCACGGAGAGTGGAAGAGATATCTCTTATTTTTCGGAACTTGCACCATCTCCTCAATTCTTTGCGTCCTCACCAAGTGAATATTTTGGTTCAATGTATTGGACAGATTCCTTCATTTTTTCCCTTTCCTTATGGCTGATATTTTAACCTTTTGAACAGGCCAGAGCTACACTAATTCACATTTTAGAACTTCAAATACAATGTCGTAAGCAAGCAGTGGAAGATATTAAGAGGTATTTCATGTTTTTAATTCTTCTTACTCTTTGAAAACATCCGTAGAATCTCCCTTGCTTTATGCTGTTAGCATTAACTGGTTGTCATGTGCAGAGAATTGCAATGGATTATTCTCTTATTTATAAATTTAATGGGAATTGCATTAATTATTGCCCATTGAATTATTGGAATCGATAAAATTTCTTTTTTTGTGATTAGCATTTAGAAGCATATAACACTGTGGCTTTGTTTCCTTTGAGCGAAATATCTTTGAGCCCAGTGTTACTCCTTTTGCAGATATAAATGGAAATAGCGCCAGATTGTTTGAGTGAACTTTGTGACATGACTTGAATTTTAGATTCCCACTAAAAATAGAACTTAGTTTTATAAAATGACCTGATGCATGATCTTCTGCTTGTTATATTGGAATATATGTTAGTACATATGTTAACATTAACATATGCACCTAATCGTAATAGTAACTATGTATGTTAACATGTCTGAACTTTGAAGCGTAGTATAATCCAAAGGACCATGTCAAAACTCCACTCCATTTGATAGTTGCTGTCAAGTGAAGTAATGGAGGATGGAGAGTGGGACAAGCCGATGGTGTCAATCTTTGTTCCAGTGAGTCCCACTCACTCTCCATTGCCGTCCATCATCTCATTGGACGATGATGTCCCAATGGACTCTGATTTTACACATTTACAGCTTCGTTCTAAGAAACTGACAAGTGAAAAGACAATAGTAAGTGGTTCTGAATAGTCTTTTTAAAAGTTCAAACTATATGCTACATTTTCCCTACTTAAAACTCATTCAACTTGAGGGATTTTTGACTCAGATGATGTGTATGGTTGTGTGAGTTCGATGACAATTTTAAAATATTTAAAACTTGGTCATTAGTATTTGTGGATAAAATGGACTGAGGTCGGCTGGGCATTGTTAAATTTTTCATGTTTTTTAATTAAATGCAGGTATCGTGCTACAGATAGAAAAGTAGTGGATCATTCATTATCTGATGCTATCTCTAAAAAGATTGAATTCCCAAAAATCTTCTCGAGCCTCATAGCCCTCTTGTTCTATTTCTTAGTTGGTCTATGCTTAAAGATTAATGCACCCTAAATAAACCTGATTTTCATGGTATTTTGTTTGTATACGGGCCTTTCATGCCAAGGACCGACCTGATTTTGAGTTGTGATCCATTTGGTGGTCCTTGGATTCTTTTGTGTATGAGGATTGAGTCAGAGAAACTTCACCCTTAAACAAGTATTTTATCAAAACATAGGAGACTCTATGGCACTCTTTTTACTCTCCTTCTGTCTCTTTAATCAAGATTTTTATTTTTGGGTTCTCATTTTATTTAATATGTGTTTACCTTTTCACTGCTTACTATTTCTTTGCTCCTCATGTTTGATAAGATCTCTTGGAACTAATGTGTGATTTCTTTCATTGTATCGTCTATTACCTTGCTTTCTGTACAAATTCGTAGAATCCATCTCTCCACGAACTGAAAGTCGGGAGAAAATTCAGGATTCAGCATATAGTCCTCTTCCCCTCCCCCCCTCCCCCTTATTTTTTTAGATTTTCCAGTTTCTAATACATATTTCTTTTTGTCGCTGTTTCTTGCTTTTTCACTTGGGTGTTCAGAAGAAGAGAAGAAGCACAGCAGCTGCTCAAAGAATCTCTTGAAACCCTAGATGGACACTTGCCTTGAACCGTATTTCTGATAACTATATTTGCCAGTTACCTATTATCCATGTTCTATATTAAGATGGATTTTGCGTAGCCACTACCCACTTGAGCTTGTTTCCTCTGTAAAGTTATCAGTCACCATAATCAAAGATGAAAGAACAGAGACCAGGTTCATGGGTCCAAAGTTATACTTGCGCTCAATGTTCTCTCTCTAGAGGCAGGCTTCTGAAGTCATCACTTCTTTGGTACTCTCTCTCTTAGTTGTCATTGCTTTTACTTTACCTGGAATTTCATTTGAACATAAAAAAATTTATGTTCAACATGAACTGCATGTTGTCATCCCTCTAGAGGTAGACTTCCCGAGTCGAGCCTTCTTTCGTGCTTTCTGTCTCTCTCATACAATTTTTGTTGCTCTTTGCTTTTTCTGGAATTTCAGTTGAGAAATAGACAGATATGAATATTTTAACATCTTGTGGTACTATGATTTCAGCATCTTTGGGGTGGTTTTATAATGAAGACTGGGTACTTGGTCTTTACCAATTCACAATTTCAAAGGTTTGAAAGGTACCTTTAGACAGCCAAGTGCTTTGTTGTGTAAAACCTAACTGCCCACTCACCCCCATTTCAAATGGAGAGCCTATTTGATGACTTGTTCAACTTGATGGATGTTGCTTGCCTGTTTTGGTGTAAACATTATACCAAACAAAGAAAAAAATCAGCATGAGAGATACTTCATTGTAGTTGTGATCATACATTTTCTTCTGATTGTTAGAGTTGAACTTGTACGGTTGCTAATGCAGTTGAGATGGGATAAGATTGTCTTGTCTGATGAAATATTGAACGGCCATTGTATTCTACATGCATGCACACGCACACACAAAATGCCTCGGGCCAATCTGTTGGGTTCATGAGGGACCTCATGAGGCCTATTTTTCTTTTTGCATGAGAGGCTTAAGCTGGAGGCAGAAAAGAATAAAGACAACAAAAAGTATTTTAGTTAGAAAAATATATAAAGAGACTATTCACTTTTGGTACGAGGAGGTTAAAATTATAATTGTCTGAAGAGTATCATTGATTAGACTTAAAAGTCCAAAACAAAAAAATTCTCTAACTTCATGGTACATCTCAAGCCATCCAATTTAACATATAATGGTTATGAGTAATTATGACTTCCTTGTAATAAAGATAAATGGTCTTATAGTATACAATCTCTTTTTAGTTAATGGTAAATTCTATAATAATATTGTTTATCTTTGGTACAAAATGATCACAATCACTTCTAATGGTTAGGGCTGTACAATTGATGTCGCTCAAAGTTTGAGAAAATTGTTCTTGGATCTTGTGTGGAGAAATTACGCACCGTAACCTAACTGTCTAATGGTACATCTGGTGTCATAGATTTTTCTACGTTGTATGTAATCTCTTAAGTAGCCCCTGTTCTCATGGCCGAATTTCATGTCGGTTATTTTCTTATTGTTAGTTTCTTTTTTAAAAATTTTGTTGTTCACCCCTACATATCCCTTTTTGTCGAGTTTGGAACCTTTTATGTCCTTTTTTTTTTATTCTTAAGTTTCTATTTGTGGGAAATTGGATAGGACAAGTTTAATTTTTAATTTTTGCTTCTAACCTTGAAGAGAATGGTCTCGATAGTTTTCCATTTCAGTTTAAATAAAGATAGTTTGCACTGGTTTTATCAAATTTTGCTGGTTGGTCAAATTTTGCACTAGTTTGCACTGGTTTTATCAAATTTTATCAAATTTTGCTGGTTGGTCCCGGCCAGGAGGATATTTTGGGGTTCCATTTCGGCCTTAGCAAGAATCTAGACTAAGATATTGACTTTTCTCCAAACAAATAAATAATTTCTTACCCAATATTGTTTAAGATGTGACATTTGTTAAATCGAATCCAGTATTCTCAATGATACCAAGATCAAACATGATGTATTCTGTCACAAAGGAATGGCTTTCTTTGAATTATGGGCAATATAAAGAACTTTATGATATATGGTATAGGGATGGCATGTTAAGAAATGGAAAAAGTTTATATAGAGCTGAGGCTCTAAACAATCAATTAGGGCCCACCTCAAAAAATTCACTAAAAGAGGTTGTTTTGATGCTCAAATATCCTCAAATCATCTTGATACCAAGATGCATGAGCATGAGAAAAAAATGGATTTCAAGTTTTGGATAGTGCATCTTGCCACGCATTTTGGACCATCTATTTTCAAGTTTTGATAGATCTGTTCGATTTATACTATTTGTTAAGTTTTAAATTTTATAATTAAATATGAAAATATATTTTAAGGCGATCACAAAGATTTCAAGGAATGAAACCACATTTTTCGGCACTATTTCAAGGTGGGCTCCAATTTGATTGTTTAGAGTTTCGGCTTTATACAAACCTCACCCTCGAGAAAAACCTTATCGTATTGAGAGACATTTTACTTGTACAAATAGGTTATAATCACTCATAATTGTTAGATATGAAATTGTACGTTCGAGGGTATGTAATTTTTTTTTTGTATAAAGTTTACCAAAAAATAAGGTCGTTATAAAGTTTGACAAAACTAAGGTTGAAAGGCTGCTCAATTTCATGTCTTATCGTTATGGGATGACGTTGAGCTTGTTGTAATCAGCATATATGGTTTTTTAGAGAAATTTAAGAAAATCTATTGTTTTGAAATTTAAAAATAGTTCTATATATTTTATATTTTATATTCAAGTCTCACTTTTTAATAGCAAAAAGTGTATTTCTATTTTTTCTTTATATATGCATTAGATCAAGCTCAAATTTTCAAATTTTGTATGTCCATACTTTTCATCATTATATATCTAAAAAATATATTTAAAAACAATTTAAAATATTAAAAACAATAAAATACCCTTGAAGATTGTAGTAATATTTTGATTATTCATTATTTTTTCAATATTTTTTATGTGTGTGAGGGTGAGAATTACATACTTACTAAATTTGAACTTATTCTGACATATAAAATAGATTAATAAAATTAAAATATAATTAAGACTCAAAACGGGGATGTGAGTGTAAAATATGAGGACTATTTTTAAAATTTTAAAATAAAACAAGATTTTTCTTGTAAATTTTTCATGGTTTATTATATGCTTTTCTTGGTTTTCTTAGGCTTTGGTTTAGTGGTGGACATTAGGGCTCTATATGGGACCGGTTGGGTCGTAATCAACCTTGACATGAACATGTAAGACCTCGATCCGAACCAGTGTGCTATAGGGTTCAGTGTGGTTCTACATACAAAAACATAGATTTTATAATATATAATTTATATATTTACATATATAAATTTGTATTTATAGGGTCCAGATCTCACGCAAGGCTTGAGCCCACTTGAAATAGTCCGGGCTAGACACAAAGCCGAGTCAGCCCCCATCTGGTTCATGTAGACTTGGCCCTAACTATTAGGTCTAGTGTCTGAGTCCGGGCCTGAGTCAACCCATCCGCTTTCTGCCTCCAGTGGACATTGGTTTGGGTTAGGGGGGACGAGGGGCCGAAAAGGCCCAAACCATAACATGGGCCGGCCTTTCTTTTTATGTACGTAATTTCTTTCTCATAAAAGCGAAAAGGGGTTATTCACCATTGTAGCAAATTCTCCCTATCAAAGTAGCAAGAAGAGCTAATTATGGTTAATGTTTGGAATACCTCCAAGATGTGTCATAGTAAGTAAGGTCAGTGTTTTGGGATGCCTCCAAATTTTTGCAATTTAAGGGTCGAATACGAAGAGGGAGACATCTTTTATATGCTTAATATATGATTTTTAAAGCTCAACTATGAGTAGACATGTTTATTTACCTCTTTCTTTTTTTCTTTTTTTTTTTTGTAGAGAGAGAGAGAGAGGTTGGTTGTCCGTCTCCAATCACAAAATAACGACCACATGATTCCAAGTGGGAGTTGAAAAAAAAAGAGGGTGGCGGCCCACCGTCTACGGGAATTATGGTATCATTATTCAAGAGAGGGAGAGAGAGAACATGCATTTGTCGTGTAACGTTGCTCACCTGTGTTGCCCCCACAAGTCCAGGGACTTAGCCCCGATAAACTAATCACTATCTCTCTCTCTCTAGAATTTTGAAAATCTCTCTCTCTCTAACTCCAACAGACTGAAAATTCCTGCTCAGGGTCCCAATGATGACCTGCTGCTGTGCGCGCTACCAAATGAAACATCTCTCTCTCTCTCTACAACTTGGTGATTTGTGTGCATGTGAGTGCGAACCATGTGTCTCTCGTATTAAACAATAACCATCTCCCTCCATGCACTTAACACCATCATAGCCTAAGATCAAAATAAAATAGTAATTAGTCTCTCTCTCTCTCTAAAACATAAAACGTAGCACAGTTGTCAAATGAGGCAGAAAAACGGGGGTATTTTAGTGGACATAGGTCAAGTGTGACGTAAGAGAGAGAAAGCAGGCAGGAGTTGCAGGGGGGAAGGGAGTATATTGTGCAGTGTGGGTCTACGACAATGCCTAATGGCCAAGGACGCCGTCTATTCGGGGCAGTTGGATATGTTCCCTCTCTCTCTCTGCTCTTTAAATCTCTATTTTTTTTTATCGCTCTCCGTCTCCACCTTCGCCGCCCCAGCTGCCCCTGCCCCACACACCTCCATCTGTCTCTTTCTCTCTTTACACTCTGCAACCAAAATCCTTCCTTCTCTACTCCACACACACACACACACACAAAACTCTTCTCACCTCTGAAAACAAAGAGTTTCTCTCTCTGAAGACCAAACCACTCTCTCTCTCTCTCTCTCTCCCTCTCTTCATGTCAAGCAGCAAAACCAGCACAGCCACCTCAAACCATGAAAACCCCTTTCTCTCCCATTTAACCAAACTTTCTTTCTCATCAAAACAACCCTCATCCTCCACTTCCTGCTCAGCCCGCCTCTCTGCCATGCTCACACTCCTAAACCGGAAATTCCGGAGACTCTGCTCAAAACTCAGGTGGTCTCGCCGGAAAACCTCCAAACCCAAGATAGTGGTCAGGCTTAATAAGGCCAAAAACTCAGCAGATAATTTTTCCAGCCAGTTCCAGGCCATGAGAACCCATGATAGGCCACAGACTCCTGAAATTTCGAAAACCATAAGAATTGCCACCTTCAATGCTGCTCTGTTTTCAATGGCACAAGCAGTTCCAAAGCCTCTCTCATCAGAGGAGAGCTTTAGAGAGATGGACCTCAAGGGGAAGTCTTTGAATGATAGGCCAAAGAGCATCCTAAAGCAAAAATCAGTTTCTCACTCTATGAATGATCCTAATGAGTTCTCTCCCTCTAAGCGATACAAGTCCCAGGGTTCAAAATTACGGGTCTCGATCAATTTGCCCGATAACGAGATCTCGATAGGGAGGAGCCGACAGCTGAAGATAATCGAGAACGAGGAGGGGACCGAGAAGGCGTGGGTTTTGAGCAATGGGGATGTTAGAATCAGGAGAGAGAAAGGCCCCATGCGGCCTAGTTTGAGTTTACCAGCACAGAGGATAAGAGAGAAAGAGAGTGAGAACTTGAGGAACAGGACTGTTCTTGAGGTTTTGAAGGAGGTGGAGGCTGATATTTTGGCTTTGCAAGATGTGAAGGCAGAGGAAGAGAGAGGAATGAAGCCATTGTCTGATTTAGCAGAGGGATTAGGGATGAAATATGTTTTTGCGGAGAGTTGGGCACCAGAGTATGGGAATGCAGTTCTCTCTAAGTGGCCTATAAAGAGGTGGCAGGCTCAAAAGATCTTTGATGATTCAGACTTCAGGTGTGTTCATTCTTCTTGTTTCCACTGTATTTAGCCAGAAAAGGAAATTCCTAACTGAGCTTTCTAATAAATCACCTTACAAACAATTTCAACTTTGCATGAGAAATTATGTATTTACTTACCCAAAAATAATATTAATATGTTTTGATACTGACGCAGTACAGAAATTTTGGTGAGAGCTTCCAAATGAGTCATTTATTTTGCAAGCTCTGGTTCACAAATCCTTTAGGTGGACTCCCAACTCAAATCTCCATCTTTGTATTCTATTTCCAAAATGTTTGTGGCCTCAAATCTCCATCTTTGTATTCTGTTTCCAAAATGTTTGTGGCCCCATTTCATAGTGACAACAAATCAGATAGCAATCTATAATTTGAACTCTGATAAGGCTAATAACCCAAAAATTTAAACCATATCGTCTTGGAATTCTTCATAAGTTTATGAGTTTTGAGAAAATGTTGAACAGGATAGAAAACTAAATTTGCAAACCCTTTTGCCTTTCTATAAATAAATCTGTGCATTTTGGGATTTTCTCTCCTTAAAAGCATATTCCTGTTTTTGTTTTGAACTAAAAGGACTAATCCTCAACTAGCACACAGAATGACAGTCAATTTCAGCTTCTCTAAGTTACAAGTGAGAGCTTCAGAATGAGTTCTAGAGGCGAGGTGATATTCCTTTGTCTCAAACACAAGCCATCCGCAGGTTAGACTGTCGACCTATGTAATATGGACACACATGATGCAGTTTTTGGCTTGCGTGGACACACCAGGGAGACGATTCATAACCATCACATTGGAAACTTCGGCACTTCTTATTGAATCTTTTGTTGAAATGTCACTATAAAAATACCTAGCATCACTTAAAATCCCACCTCTCCCCTTATCTAAATGCTACATGGATACATTGTGTCTAAAAAGCTGATTTTGGAGTTGGCGTTGCAGACATTCATATCAATGTCAAAAGGCTGACTCATGTATCCATTACGACATAGGGAAGAGATGCATCTGCAACGATCAGAACGAGAAAGATGCTTATGACTTGTTATGCCACATAGTATTTGTTTTGCAATATATGGAAATATTCTTATTGCCTCTCTTGGAAATACTCTCCTCAGTAATCTATGTCCTCGAGCATTATGATTGCACTTAATGGGAAGAGCGGACATATATTGTGTTCCTGTGGGAGCATATACTATACATTTACTCCCTTGGGCAGAAGACTTACTTGGGAGGATTTTTATCGATCTAAAATTTTGCTCACCACTATCAGTAGATGATTATTTTCAAAAGAAAAATATTGGATTTTGAGTTCTTTAAGAGTTAGATCTCACCCTGACATTATTTTTTCAAGCAGTGAGATTTTGAACTTTTTTTTAATTGAGATCAGTCTTTAGGTTGAAGAGGTCAATCCCCAAAACTTGGGGCCCTAAAAATACTCCTTGATTGGGTTTTACCCGAGGGACTAAATTGACAGTATGCTCCCTCAAGAGCACTAAATCTTTTGGCTACTTTGGAAGCACCACCTTTTAGGGCCAAAACTGAGCAAGACCAGCTATGGAGGTAGTATTAGGGAGCACCTATAACTCTTTTCTGAAGAAATTGGGATTAGCCTCACATTAAGCATGCCAACTGCTAGAAGCCAGATATATAATGCTCAATAGGAAAGCATCAGATCCGACAAAGGTCAAGCTACTGCACCATAATCAGACTAGGCTGTTAAGAAGTAATGGCTTGACCAGTTTATCCATTTGACCTAAGGCAAGAAATTATCTATTGAGTAAAGTCAGATTGCACTATGGTTACCTCTAGAAAAAAAGAAACCACGAGCTTGTGAAGCATACAGTTCACCTAAGATAGCTGTGAAGTGACATTGGCGAAAGATATTTCTAAAGCTGTTTTTTTTTTCCCTTTTTCCTATTCTTTCTGCGTTTTATGCGAACTTGTTGGTGGAAATCCATAGTTTGTGCAATTCTTTCTATTTGTCCAGCAGATCCTTCTGCTTCATGAGGCAAAGGGTTGCATGTAACTTACCCAGATTGATAATCTCACAAATATTGCTTCATCTTTGCAAAGTGGCATGTTATTCGTTTCTGATGCAGTATGAGTATCAAAACCAAGATCAATCTAAAGAGGCAGTATAACAGTTTTACAAAGTAACGAGCTCATCATTCTAACAGAACACTCACATGCATGCGCAGATTTTTAAGTTTGTTCACCAGGAATTTTTGACAGTAAATCCCTTGGCCATGGGTGCACTTGTCTTTTTAAACAGGGTTAATTGTGGCCATTTGTGCTCGATGACTTGACATACCTGTTCTTTCTAGTTAGGCATGTTTGCCCTCTAAAAATTGTTGAGAAAGGACACTTCACTTGCTGGGTTTTTTATGGTTGAAGAACTCTATTTTTCTTAAGGTTCATTGAAGAAGACAATAAATTGGTGTTGTTTCTTTCTTCAAGTTCTCTGTGTTCAATTCGTATATTTGGGTCTCGTACAAATCTGTTTGTCTGTGAACTCGTTTGCATAAGGACCATCTTTGCCTCTCATTTGCTCTGTTTTGTGTTTCTAGTAGGAGCGTATAACTAAACCATCTTTGGCTTTCATTTAATCTGTCGTGTTTCTAGTAGGAAATCAATAGGGAGTGTTTAACTATAAGCCCAAATTAGCCAAATGATGAAGAAATGCACATTATGAAGATTTGCTAGAGAACACAGTAGGGAAGGGGCCAATCAGATTCTATACATAACATATAGGAGAAATTTAAAGCTTAACTCTTGCCGAAAGCTATGATCTTTTGAAACATTAATTTTTCAACCGCAATTCCAATAACTTTTCTGAGAAAATGTGTAAAAAATTTTCCTAAGAAGTGTATCCTCAATGCATTAGATCATGAAGTTATTGTAAGCAAGCCATTTGATTGGTCATTGCTTATTTTAGTCACAACCCCCAGCCCAACGATGTCAACAAGTGAAGCCCCTAAAGTTCCAAGAGTATCATGGATATCCAACTCGGTAGGATTATACGAATTGCTTTATTTCTGAGTTACAAATTACAACAATGAGCCTAAGTTTTGTCATAAAAAACTTTACAATTGAAAAGCTGACCAAAGCTCTCGATCATGTAAGATAGTCATATCTCTAGGAAAACACATAGGTTTATCAAAGAACGAGTGACTAATCTATTATAATGTTACAGGAACGTCTTGAAGGTTGTAGTCGACGTGCCCACTGCAGGAGAGGTGAATGTCTACTGCACCCACCTTGACCACTTAGATGAGAACTGGAGAATGAAGCAGATAACTGCAATACTACAGGGGAGCGATGGCCCACACATTTTAACCGGAGGCCTAAACTCTCTTGATGAAACTGATTACTCAGAAGAGAGATGGACAGATATTGTAAAGGTAGTTCTCCCAAGAACAGATGTTTTAGTTCAATTGTCAGATTGTAAACTCCATGCTTTGTCAATTAAGTTTCCAAGAACACATGGTTCTTTTATTTCTAAAATGGGATGCAATTCTCATTATTATTGACCAGAAAACTGACAATCTACATGGTTTTTCCAGTATTATCAGGAGATTGGAAAACCCACTCCAAAGGTCGAGATAATGAAATTCTTGAAGGGAAAAAGATATACAGATGCCAAGAACTTTGTGGGCGAATGTGAATCAGTTGTCATGCTTGCCAAAGGGCAAGGTAGTAAATTCTCAATTCTCTCTTTCTTTTTCCCTTCTTGTTTTCTAAAAATGGTGATTCAACAATGAAATGCCCAGTGGGAACACTGTTATTTTCTTTTTCTAAGTATTTTCTCCTTTTTTGTTACGTCTCTCAAAAAATGGCAATTCAGGAATGAAATGCTTTTTTGTTACTGTTTCGCTTCTCATTTTTTTCAACAATGACATGCTTAACGGGTTCACTTCAATTTTCTTCTTCTTTTCTCTTATAGCTAACATGTTCATTGGTTTTACTGAGATGGGTTTTGCTCAATAGATGTTCAGGGCACCTGTAAGTACGGGACTCGAGTTGATTACATACTGGCTTCTCCTGATTCCCCATATAGATTTGTACCTGGATCATACACAGTGATCTCGTCAAAAGGAACCTCTAATCACCACATTGTAAAAGCTGATATCCAAGTTTCAAGTCTTCCGAATGGATCCACATGTGCTCCATACAAACCCAAGACCGTGCGAATACAAAAATCCACTTCAAGAGGAATATGGAGAACAACTTCATGATTTTCCTTGTATGCAAAAACCACTAATTCTTTCTTCTTAAGTGTTCTTTTGGGGGGCTTATAGAATTGAATTCAGGTTGATGTGATTTACCCAAAAAAAAAAAAAAGTAGTGAATATACAAATCAGAATACTTGGCCTGCAATAGAAGCCAAAGACATCTTCTTCAGTGATTTTGTGGGCTCACACAAATCAATCCAGTTTTATTTATTACAAAGCCATACTTGTCTAGATGCTCGAACTTCATTGGAACCCAAATATTCACATTGGTTATCTAACAGAGAGTAGCAATCAGTGTTGGAAAGAACGACTCGGGCCAGCCAAGCCAAAAATTCAGCCCGAGTTGGGCCCAATACTATAGCAGCAAAAAAAGTGTTTGAAAAACACAAAAAAATTCTCAAAAATGGGAAAAAGATGTTTAAAGTAAAGTTAAACAAAACACATGTAAATGAGGTTAAAAATAAAAATGGATTTTTGAAATAATCTAAAAATAAGGGTAAATGTAAAAATAAATATATATGACGAAGACACTTTCCAATGTTTTCCAAAATGAGAGAATATATAACAAATGAATTCCTTTCTTTTTGCATTTTTTATAACTTTTCTTGAACTTTTTTTTTAAGATCCCCGAGTTGGATGCCTAACTCGGGGATACTCTTGCCCGCCGGGGTGGCAAGCCTAAGGTTCTCGGGTGAGTACGAGTGGACTTACCGAGCAATCGAATACTGGCAACAATTAGAAAGAAACATATTTGAAATCCATTTAGTTATTAATGAGGAACAGAAAGAAGAAGATATATATTGGATTGGAGATTCGAAATTCATCCCACATATGAAAAGAGATAAGGCCAGTGTTCGAAAAATTGAACCAGCCTCAGAAACCGGCCAATGGCCAGTTCTAAGTAACCGTTAAACCGGTCGGTTTAACCGGTCCAAAAAGTGTTAAAAAATAAAAAAACACAAAATAAAATATGAAAAGTATATTTATAGTATGATTAACCAAAGCACATCTAAATGAAGTTGAAAAATAATGAAAAATGGACTTCAAAAAATCGATTCATGTTTTGGGGTATTTTTAAATTTTTTCATAAAAGATAGAAAAGTGTATAAATAAGATGGAAAAGTGTAAAAATAAGTATTCAGCCAAAATGCATTCCAATTTTTTCTCAAAATGATAAAAAACATTAAAAAACACATTACAAACAAATCCCTTATTTTTTAAGATTTTATATAATTTTTTTTTTTAGAATACTCAGTTGAATTACGAAAACCTACCAAAACCGGATGAGCCAGTGCCCGGTTCCAGCTTAACCAGCCAGTTCGGAGTTGAACCAGCCGAGTTTGCAACCACTGGATAAGGCTAGGTATTGGTTAAATACTTTTCTTCCTCCTCCAGCTAAATCTATATGAAAAAGCGAATTGTTTAGGAAAATAAAGTGGGCTAGTCTTTCAGAGTTGTTTTCATTTTAGCACCCAAAACAATGGGTGGCAAAATAAAAAGCCCCCAGTTTATAGATTCCACTCAAAAGCATGGTTGAACAATTAGCATACTATAAAAACCGAAAATGAAATATGAAAAAAGAAAATGGACAGTATACCATAGAGTTGTGAGTTAGAGATTATAGAGTTTTTACTTGCCAAAAGAGAAATAAGTGTATCGTACACCATTGGAGTGCTCTACATATATGGTACGCCACAAAGGATTCCACCATTCGATTCCCATAATGGATGGTAAAGACAAACCACGCGCACATTAGTAGCAATGCTTATAATCTCCATTGTCCATCATTGCAAGGATGTCGATGCCTATGGTTTCACCATGTATGCCAATGTTTATGAAAATGATGATCCAGATCAGTAATCGCAATCTTGATCGAGAATCGGTCCCTAGTTCTCAAATGGAATTGAGAATGGTTCCAATTTAGATAGACTCACCTGGTTCTATCGGAGAACTAGGCTATGCAGATTGGCCAAACTGGTCGGTTCTTACCCATTTTGTTTTTTATTTGTTTAATATTTTTAACATTTTCAAATTTATAATTGTTATTTGAATTTCTTTTAGTGCCGTTTGGATAGGAGGAAATTCGGAATTTTAGATATTTGAAATCCAGGGAAATCTATGGATTTTCAATATTAAGGATTTTTGTCATGGTTTTCTCAAATCTCTTGTTTGGATAAACTATACAAAATTCATGGGTTATTTGCAATCACTTCTATGTCTATTGTTTGGTAACAAAACTTGATACCAAAATTTTATATATTTTCTCTCTCTAAAATTCAAAATTTGGTATAGTGTATCTATAAAAATTTTGAGATAGTTTATCGCTTTAAAATTTGATATGGTTTGTCTCTTTAAAATTTAATATACTTTCTATCCAAAATTTAAAATTTAAAATTGTCTATCTAAAATTTTTGAGATAATTTCTCTCTCTAAAAATTTTAGTTGGTTTACTCTCTCTAAAATTTAATATAGTTTCTCTTTCTACAATTTTAAGATATTCTCTCTCTCTAAAACTTAAAACTTGAGATAGTTCCCCTCTTCAATAATTTTGATATAGTTTATCTCTCTAAATGTTTTTAAGTAGTTTCTCTCTCTAAAATATGATATAGCTTTTCTCTCAAATTTTAAGATACTCTCTTCCTAAAAGCTAAAATTTGAGATAATTTCTCTCTAAAATTTTTGCAATAGTTTCTTTGTCTAAATTTTTTTTATGTATTTTCTCTCTCTAAAATTTGATATAGTTACTCTCTTTAATTTTTAAGATGCTTTCTCTCTCTAAAACTTCCAAGTTTGAGATAGTTTCTCTCTCTATAATTTTGAAATAGTTTTTTTCTTTAAAATTTGATATAATGTCTCTGTAAACTTTGATATACTTTATCTCTCTAAAGTTTAGAATTTGAGATACTTTATCTCTCTAAAACTTAAATTTTGAGATAGTTTCTTTCGTTAAATTTTTTTGAAATAGTTTCTCACTCTTAAAATTTCATGTACTTTCTCTATTTAAAATTTGATATAGTTTATCTCTTGAAAATTTTAATATACTTTCTGTCTAAAACATAAAATTTGCGATAGTTTCTCTCCAAAAAAATTGAAATAATTTCTCTCTCTAAATTTTTTTAGGTAGTTTCTCTATCTAAAATTTGCTATAATTTCTATTTCTAAAATTTTAATATATTTTCTCTTTCTAAAATTCAAAATTTGAGATAGTTTCTCTCTAAACCTCAAAATTCGAGATAGTTTCTCTCTTTAAAAACCAAGATATTTCTCTCCCTAAAACCAATATACTTTCTCTCTCTAATATATAACAGTTTCTCTCTAAAACTTAGAATTTGAGATAGTTTCACTCTCTAAAATTTTGAGATAGTTTATCTCTCTAAAAAAATTTGGTACTTTCTCCCTCTAAAATTTTAACCTACTTTCTCTTTCTAAAATTTTAACATACTTTCGCTCTGTAAAAGTTAAAATTTGAGATAATTTCTCTCTCTAAAATTTTGAGATAGTTAATCTCTCTAACAAAATTTGGTATTTTCTCTCTCAAAATTTTTAACATACTTTCTCTCTCTAAAATTTTAACATACTTTCTCTATCCAAAAGTTAAAATTTGAGATTAGTTTTTTTTCTTTAAAAATTTTGAGATAGTTTCTATCTTTCCAAAATTTTCATACCTCCCAATTGCTCCCTATATTTCGGGTCGCGGGAGCCAATAAGTGAAATCAATGGGCCTTGGAAATGCTAAAAAACAGGTTTTGGTGTGGAAATGAAATCATGGAAAACTAGATCTTATTTTCATGATTTTGATTTTCCTGATTTTCAGTATCCAAGTCATTGAACAATCCAAACGGTGGATTTTGACAATATCTAAGATATTGGGAATCCATGCTTTAAAATCCATGTACCCAAACAGGCCCTTAGGGTATGATTCCTACACCGGAAGATCAGTCTATCCGGCCTAGATTGACGATTAGGATCGGTCCAGCATGTGATCGATCCAACTTCCCGATTTGGGTTCTAAAACACTGATTTTATTCCGTTCGTAGAGACATGAAGGTTATTTCATTGATGAAACTTTTGGGCTAGGTAGAGGTTGTCATGACTTCTTTTGTGAAACTTTTGGGCTAGGTAGAGGTTGTCATGACTTCTTTTATGAGTATTTTAACATGGGAAGATAAGCAAAAAGAAGGATTTTTCATTTTTTGAGTAGTAATAAGTAAAACGAAAAATTGAGATGAGAAAACCCAATAAAAAAAAATGGATGCTTTTTGGGTTATCTAAAAGCTTTCAAGTATGGGTGTGGTTTCTATAAACTTCGCAGCCTTAAACGATTCTATTAAGGCTCATTTCCAAATTTTATCATAACATGTATTTTGGGTGTAAAAAATTATTAAGATTATCTGAAAATCTATTTTCATATCTAGTTATAAAATTTTAAACTCTAAAAATGGTTAAAATCAAGTGGACCTATAAACATATGAAAATCTAAAAAATGGACAGCCTAGATAATGTGTTGCAAGAATCAAGATATACAATTTTTGGATTTTAAAATTTTTTTTTATCCATACTTATCGATGTCAAGATGATCAATTAGAGGATTTTTCAATATTAAAACAATTTTTCCCGATAGATTTTTTAGGTGAATATTTAATTCTATATTTTAAAGTTGCAACCTTATATAAGCTTTTTCCTTCAAGTTTTCCTAGTTAGTATGGTTCCTCTGTACTTACTAAAAATTTGAGTTGGACTGCTAAACATATAATTCAGTTACCTTATAATTGAAATACTTGTATGAGAAATGGAAAAATATTTCATAAAGCTCTGGTTTTACGGGATTGCACCTCAATTTTGCCAGAAAATACAGTTCTCATGTAAAACATGCAAACATATTGATCTCGATCATGGAGGATTTAAAGTCCTAAATATGATTTATCTTACAACACTTTTTTCTATATCATATGTTTCTTTCTCATGTAAAACATGCAAACATATTGATCTCAATCATGGAGGATTTAAAGTCCTAAATATGATCTATCTTACAACATTTTTTTCTAAATCATATGTTTCAAGAATTCCATGACAAATTGACGACATGAATAGATTTCCTAGCCATCATAT